AGCAGCATTTTTGTGGAGCAGCATTTTTGTGCAACTACATGCCTAAATGCACTGAGTTGCCGCCATGTGATTGGCTGATTAGAAATTAAGTGTTAACGAGCAGTTGGACAGGTGTACCTAATAAAGTGGCCGGTAAGTGTAGATAGTTTTTAGTCTGGACAGCCACAAAACAAGGTCACAAGTTGTGTTTTTATTAGTCAACAATGTGTACTGTAAGACCGTAAGCACTTATTTTTTTCTCCTCTCCTTTGACTAAGCAATTCAAACAGTAGGTGTGATATATATATATGTGTGTGTGTGTGTGTGTGTGTGTGTGTGTGTGTGTGTGTGTGTGTGTGTGTGCGTGTGTGTGCATTTAGTACATGTATTGTTTATTTTAAGGTGAAGCAGGTCCTTACTTGTGTAGGACTATTTCATAAAGCCCCAAATTTTCATTTATTTCACAAGCGAAGCACCAGGGAGAGAATGCTTTTACTGGCCAGTATGCCATTACTATATTGGTCAGGTCAGGGAGATGTGTGTGGGAGGTGTCTCCTGGGAAAAAAAGCCCTCTACAAATAAAGTATGACTAAAAACTATGAAATAAAAAATGTCCCAAAACAAAACAAAAACATTACAAGTGATCTTTTATGAATCACTTTCTATTTGGGGAACAAGGACTTTATTTTGTTGCCATACCAAACAATGACTAAATGTAGTCCAGTTTGGTTAATGATTGATGCTAATAAAAAACCAACATGAGGCATGTCAAGGGTTAGGGGCCAAAGAAAAAAGGGCATTTTCCACAAACATTTCAGGCGTTCATGAACCGAGCAGTTGAGTTTCACAGTCCATAAAAACCTGGGAACTGCTTGGAATGTCTACACCTGGAGAATGTCCACATGAGTACCTGGAACGTGACCTTAGGCAAAAACAAAACAAAAAAATAAAATACTAAAAGTGTCATGACTGACAGCGTCAGGCGGAGGACATCCTTGGAAAAATACTGCCCTGCAGACACACAGCTTCATCTTGTTCATTTAAGCTGCAAAATCATTTTCTGTCATTTTAAGCTGTGTGAGAACTCAACCAATGTGTTTTTATACAGAGTGGATAGGATGAGATAATCACTCTTTCATTCAAATCAGGTGCGCTGAAGCAGGGAAACATCTAAGACATGCAGGATAGTGGCCCTCGAAGACCAGGGCTGAGCATCGCCGCATTAGACTGAGAAATCTCAAGGCACAATTTAACTGTCAGTAATAAATCAGAGAGAAAATATTTACGTCGTCATTAACTGACATGACTTCATTTATGCAATGCAGTCAATCCCTGTACTGTACAAAATGAGATCACAATGGATCATTTGTGGGGGGGAAACACTGGATACTGTAGGATAAAATGTAAAAGAGAAAAAAAAAACAGTGAACACAATGTAATTCTATTTAACATGGAGACGAGAACAGTGTTGGCACAATAACCGATCACTGAATTACATTAGGACAAACAGTTTTGTGATGCAGCAGTCACACAAAAAAGTTGTTTCTGCAACTGTCTACAGTAGCCATGTTTCCATCCAATTCTAATTCAAATTTTGAGCAAATTTTTAAAAATTTTGCAAAAAGGAATAAACGAATAAATGCGAATCAGACGTATTTCCATCAACTGGCTTGAAGTGTATCAGTTACATCAGACGCACGTGTGTAGTAAACAGGAAGTAAAAGCCGCATCTCAGGAAAATGGAGAGAAGTTATCAGGAACGAGTTGCTACTATTGGGAAAGTTGTAATTATTCTGTTTTTTCAACTAGTTTTGGTGATTTTACAATGCTGTCTGGAGACGTAGAGAAAGAAATGCAATTCTCTTCACGTTATGGGAATAACTGAGAAGACACCGACAGCGGGAGGAAGGTCCAGCTGCAGTCGCTCTGGTACCGGTATCGTTCAGACAGCGAGAACAGCTGATCAACATGTGAGGTAAATGTTCGCTACGTCAGAACTTATTCAACAAATGTGTTTCCATCTGTCCTTTTGTCTTTTTTTGAAAAAACTAAAAACCACCTCAAGCGAGCGTATCAACTTTTATGCGAATTAGAGGAAGTTTTTTCGAATCATGACGTTTCCATTCACCTTTTCTGATGCGATACTTCAAAATGCGCATTAAAAAACGTTGATGGAAGTACGGCTTGTGTCATAATTCCAAAGCGATTACAGAATTAGCAACTGATCAACACTAATTAGCAGCACAGCCTCAAACCCTTTAATTACCTTGTGCATTTTGTCTCCTTCGCCTCCATTCAAACATCACGATTTAAGCTGCACGATCAAAGTGATTCTTTTGATTATATACGGCCTCTCTGTGTTAAAACACACACTGTACGTCTGTGTACAAGACTAATTTATTTCTGCTCTTTCAAGAAGATTTTCATGCTGGTCTATTTATACTATGGTCCTGACTGCTTCAGTACTGGAAGCCCCCCTTCCTTGGCACTGACAGCATGACTGAAAATGTGAGGGACGGACCCTGCTGCGGAGGTGATGTGACACTGCTGCCTCAAATTGTCAGTGGAGCTGATAAGAGACAGGAGCTGCACAAAAACGCAGCGACAAGAACAGATTATCTGTGTTTGAGGAAAAAAGAGAGAGAGAGAGTGAGTGTGATGGAAAGCCGAGGCTATAAAACGAAAATGGGAAAAGTAGGTGGAAGAGGAGAGGCAGCAGTGCCACATTAATCTGACAGAAAACTAACTAACAAGGTCAAAAACAACCTTTTACAAAGTGGAAGCCCAAAGAAGTGACACTTGGAGCGAGGTGTAGGACGCGGGACAAACCTCTTGGGGAAGGAGAACTTGACCGCGTTCTGGATGAAGCCATAGCAGCAGGGACTGATGACGAAGGCGGCTCCTGCCTGGATGCAGTGCTCCAGCACCATGTCTGTAGCAACACCACAGGCGTGGAGAGCAACCTGGGTGACAGCAGGCACACACAGACACATAAATGTGCCACTTTAAGCTTTGAAATCAGAATATTCTGTTTTCTTTTAAACATAAAACTCAAACTATTCACAGCTGAAAGCATGCACTCAGTCTTATTGATTCTTCATAATGGTGACTGCAATTTAAAAAAAACAACTTTGCTCTCCAAGTGTAGATTAGTCGAGCAAATAAAATATATTGGTGCTTTAGAAGCAGTGGCACGAATGCATCAGGAATCCCACGGAGTAGATAACCTGCGCGTGGTGGTAAACAGGGGTCAGTGCATTAGTGAGTGGGGTGGGGGGGGGGCTATGCCATGAACAGCTGAGGGGGCTAAACGACCCCAAGCTCTGTTCCCGTCTGCCTTTTGTGTCAAGAATATCTGTTAAAATGATCATGAAAATCTAAAAGTGCAGTGATTATAGATGATTTCCACTCAAGTGAACGCCGGATAAATAGAGTCTGCAAATGGTTGAAAGAAAATGCTTTACTGACAGTTTGATATGACAATAGCTACTCTAAGGCTCTCTGAAAATAAGCCCCTCAATTCGATTCCAGCAGCTACTACTTTATTCTGCTCTTGTTTTCCAAGAAGTTGTCACAGGGCGTCTGAGAGTCTGAATGGGCTGCATGTTGCCTTGACAGCAGTGCCACAGAGCAGAAGTTCAGAGCTGATCAGGACTGGAGCTACTGGCTGCAGTTCCACTCACTGCAAGGATCCAGACGCTGTGAGCTGCATGGCTAAAGCCTCTCCTAAGCTCTCTGATGTGTCTAGACAGAAATACGTTTCCTAAAGGCTCTTTAAATCTCCATGGAAGCTGAATTTGTGAATGCATCTTTTTCACAGACTGTAGTCGGGAATCTGTTTAAAAACGCTCCACGCTCACTAGGAGAACATTTAGCTATGGTGGCCCGGAGGAAGAAAAATTACTATTTATTATTATTTTCACACAATCATCAAATAGTCTCCAACTGCCAAAGTCCAAGTAGATACAGGCTAAAACCAGAACACTTTAATAAAAAAAAAAAACCACAACTTGTTGAAACAACACCACCATCATCCTCTTGTTTGCGACAAAACCCAAAGGCAGCCTTATATAATTTTGGTGTCCGCAAATGAGTTTGAACCAACCTCCAAAAGATGATTTGCGCATGTACCTCTGTATTTCTAAGAAATATTTTTTGTTTGGACATTATGTTAAGGAAATTCATGTTTTTCATCTTATTTGACAAAGCAAAGTATCATTCCACTAAAGCAAATTGAGAATTGATTTATATGGAGCTATTACCTAACCATAAACGTAAATTTGGATAATTATCATCAATTAGCCGACGTCTTACCCAGAAAATTAATGTTGTACATTAGTCATGGGGGTTAAATCCTCATTAGATTTTATAACCTTCAGTCGTGATTCACACCAAATAAATTAAACAAAAGAAATACGCATGAGGAGAAACCTGTTTTGATAATTATTCATTTGATTTAAAAATCATCTCTGCATTAAAAAAGTTTATTTTTTTCCTCCTGAAAGCAATTTAGTTGAAAAGCTACAGTCAATTATGCTTAATTAAATATACATAATGCAGAAAATCATTGAAAAGCATTTCAGTCAAACAATATTACACACACACACACACACACACACACACACACACACACACACACACAC